TACTTGAAATTTATCTCGAAGTAGAAAAATGTTCGTTTTTCCCCAAGTTCAAAGAAAACAATCATGCCAAGCGTCCAATACACTAAACTGGCGAATTTAATATTCTTTCAAAAAGTGCGTGATATTTTTAAAACCATTTCTACACTAATGCGTAGCCCGCATTAGTGTAAAAAATGCACCAAAATCACTCCTCTCATCCACCCAGGGGACCAGCAGGTCTTTTTAAAAAAAAAAAAAAAAAAAAAAAGGTTTTTTGAAGTCCCCGGACAAGAATTTACCCTAAAGTTCTGGGGAATCACTTCAAAATCTTCAACTCCTTATAACCTGCACAAGGAGAGGGGCTTAGCGATGTTTGGGCCAAAACTTGTCCAAGCTCCTCTTTCTTGTGGGGTTATTTGTGTATTGGGCCAGTCACGGGAATGTCCTTTTCGTTATTTTTTAAAAGTGACTTTCCAGGGCTTTGAACTCTGCTGGGGAAAAAAAGTGGCCAAATTGTCCTCGACAAGGGTTTTTTAAAAATTTTAGGGTGACCCCGATAACCTATGCCCGTTTGAAAATTTTTGTGTTTTGGGGGTGCCATGGAGTTGGAGGGGATGGCCAGGGTGTGGAAGAGTTGGTGGGGGCCCACAGGGAAGAGCTAACCCCTGAAGAGTGCAAACCTCATCTGGGAAAAGTGAGGAAATTCAAGGGAAAAGGGGAAAAGGGAAAAAGGTACCCCCTTCCCTTCCGTGATTAAGGACTTTGGGGCAAAGTGAATTGAGGGTTTCAAACTTTTGTGGAAAAAATCACCCGACCAACTGAACAAGCATTCCGCAACTTTCAGTGGCAATACTTTTTCCCATATTTGGCAAAATTTTTAACCCTTTCAGGGCCAAGGCCAAAAAAAAACGGGGGGGTGCCCCCCGTTAAAAAAAATTTTGGAGAGAGAGAAAAAAAAAAAAAAAAAAAAAAAAAAAAAAAAAAAAAAAAAAAAAAAAAAATTACAGGATTAAAAATAATTTTTTTGTAAAGGTAATAAAACAAAAACAAAAAATTTTCTGATCATATTTTACCGAAAATACAGAAAGGGGGAAAATTTGACCCAAAATGACCGGGTGGGGGCAAAAATCAGTGATTTCCCAAAATCACATTTTTTTTTTTTAAAACTTTTTTTATACTTTTTTTCTTTTTTTAATTTTTTTTTTAAAGAAACATTTTTGACCTTGAGCCCAAAATAAATGTATAAATTTTAAAAAGTGTAAACCCATTGTAAATTTAACACAATAACTGCAAAATAATTTTTTTTAAACATTATATTGCTTACAAAACTTGTTTACAATTTTTTGTAAACAAAATGATGAAAAAAATTAAGGGGGTTATTTTGTTGAATTTCAAACCGGGACCCAAAAATAAACCCTATGGTACAATGGTGCCATAGGGGGGGAAGGAAACCCTATATTTCCCAAAATAAAACATGGTTAAATGGTAAAAAAAACACGATACAAAGGCACACGATACAATGGTACCATATGAAACAATGGTTTCCATATGGTAGAATATGGAAAAAATTTGGTTTCCAATTTTCCAAAAGGTGGGCCCAATTTAACAATGGGACCCCAAAAGGCAATGGTACCAAGGGACGTTGAAATTTAACACAAAACACACCCAATATTTTCATCACATTTTGATTACAATAGTTTTTTTACAACAAAAAAATTGAAAAATGTTTTTTTTTAAAAAAGTAATGTTCTATTATATATTTATAAAAGAAAAGAACTCGACAAATTTCCCCTTTTTGGGGGATGAAAAAGTGCTTTGTCCGGAAACCTTTTTTCGGGGGTCTTTGCTAGGCGCCCCCTTTACTCATCCCTTGGGGCCCGGGTCTCCTGCCAAACCCAAAACCTATTTAAACCCTATGGTACACGGTATCATAAGTTACAGGGAAACCCTATGGTTTCAACCAAATCGTAATGACATATTTCCAAAAAAACCCCTACCACGGGGGTATGGTTTTCCATAGGGACATTGTAAAACCCTGGGGGAAAAGGGGACCATGCAGTAACAGGGAAAAAATTTGGTGCAAGGGGACCATATTGTGCAGGACCAAAATGGCACAGGGTACCATACAGTACAGGAAACCAAAAAGGGACAAGGGAAAAAGGTCCCCAAAGGAAATAAGTCACAATGACTTTTTTTTTGGGGTTTTCCTAAAATTTTTTACACATGGGGCTATGTATGAAAAATCCCATGAAAATTTTTATTTCCCGTACACCTAAAAAAACAAAACCCCCTGCATGTGGCAACATAAGTAAGTTTATTTAGGTATACACAAATAAAGTTATAGAATATCATACTTAGCATATGTTTGGAGAACCTAGGATAACCCAAAAAAGTCAGACTTATTTCCATTAGGGTCCCTGTACCCTGTACCATATGGTATAATGTACCATATGATACAATTGTACCATATGGTACCATTGTACCATATACCATTGTATGACATGGCACCACTGTACCATATGGTACCATTGTACCATATGGCACAATGGTACCATATGGTTCTAAACCATAGAATTCCTCTTCAGCTCCACTTCCATCAGTCTTAGAACTGTAAGCTGTGAAGAGGAGAGTCAGAATTCACCCAGAGAGAGTGGGGAGCGAGAGCTTCCTTGCCGCCAGGCACGATGAACAAAGCTACTTTGCCGGCGTTCCCGCAATGCCATACGGGTATCCAGATTTTTTCTACAGTGTGCACACTGACCACCAAGACCCATTCTCTCAGATGTAGGCCTACCAGCCTTCTCGCGCTAAATTTGACACCGCTAGAATTTTGGCGTAGATCTACGGTTTGGACCCTGAACATAAAAGCCGTAGATCTACAGGACGGACCCTGAAAGGGTTAAGAGACCCCAGAAACAGAGCCCTCTGGACAGATTTTTAGTGCGACAGGGGTCCAGTGCCAGTAAAAGACAATGAAGGGAAGTAACCCCAGATAGGGCTTTGATACCTGAAGTCCTTATGCAGGGGGATTCCCTTTCCAAACAATAAGCTCTCCTCCCTCTCCCCGCCTCGCCTTCTTCCATATGCCAACAAGAGTCTTCAATAAAGGTATGTAATAGTGATTTAAATGTTCATTTATCCATTTCATTAATATTTTTGGGTGTCTGGAATGGATTAATTGTATTTACATTATTTTTTATGGGAAATATTACTTCAGTTTTCGAACGTTTCGGATTTAGACCGATTTTCTGGAATGGATTAAGTACAAAATCTGGGGTTCCACTGTACCTGTTATCCAGCATGCTTTTCGGACAGGAAAAGGACACCAGCAATCCTACCATCGTGTAAAAGAATTACGGGTTTCTGTTTCACACTCACTTGGCAGAACAGTAGTACCTCCCTGGGTCGTTGCTGTCTACCAACCTACTATACTTTTTTTTTTTTTTTTTTTTTTTAAGAAACCGGTCATATCCCACTGAGGCAAGGTGACCCCCCCCCCCAGGTTAAAAAAAGAAATAGAAACACTTTCACCATCATTCATACACAATCAGTCTTTACAGAGGTACCCAGATGTGACAGTTCAAGATGTCACTCCAAACAGCCAATATCACAAACCCCTCCCTTAAAGTCCAGGCATTGTACTTCCCACCTCCAGGACTCAAGTCTGGCTACTGGTTTCCCCCGAATCCTTTCACAAAATATTACCCTGCTAACACTAATATGAGCCAAATGTTAGGAGTAGCAAGATGTACCTGTCATCTTGCCTGTTTATGAGACACACCTGCAGTCCTACTATTGTGCAAAACAATTACAGGGCTTAGTTGCACACTCGTGTGGCAGGATGGAAGTACCTCCCTGGATGGTTGCTATCTACCAATCTATATTATATTTTATATTATAATTATATTATTAGGTAGTAGGTTGGTAGACAGCAAACGTCCAGGGAGGTACTACCGTCCTGCCAAGCGAGTAAAACAAAAGCCTGTAATTGTTTTACATGATGGTAGGACTGCTGGTGTCTTTGTCTCAAACATGCAAGATTTCAGGTACATCTTGCTATTTCTATTTACACTTAGGTCACATTACACATGCATGTACAAGCATATATATACACACACACCCCTCTGGGTTATCTTATATTTTCTTACTAGTTCTTGTTTATTTCCTCTTATCTCCACAGGTAAGTGCAGCAGAATTCTTCCACCATAAGCCATACATGCTGTAAGAGGGGACTAAATTGCAGGGAGCAAGAGGCTTGTAACCCCTTATGTATACATTACTAAAGTTTAAAAGAGAAACTTTTTTCTTTTTTGGGCCACCCTGCTTTGGTGGGATACAGCCGGTTTGTTGAAAGAAGAATTATCTTCTTTCAATGTACCAGCCTTATCCCACCGATGTGGGGTGGCCCAAAAGGAAAAACGAAATTCTCTCATTTTAAATTTAGTAATACGTACAGGAGAAAGGGTTACTAGCCCCTTGCTCCCAGCATTTTAGTCGCCTCTTATGACACGCATGGCTTATGGAGGAAGAACTCTGTTCCACTTCCCCATGGAGATGAGAGGAAATAAACAAGAACAAGAGCTAGAAAGAAAATAGAAGAAAACCAGAGTGGTATGTATATACATGTGTATATGCTTGTACATGTATGTGTAGTGTGACCTATGTGTAAGTAGAAGTAGCAAGATGTACTTGAAATCTTGCACATTTATGAGACAAAAAAAAAAAAGGACACCAGTAATCCTACCATCATGTAAAACAATTACAGGTTTCCGTTTTACACCCGCTGTCTACCAACCTACTACCTAGGAAGAAGAATTATATTTTATATTATGCTCCTGGAGCAGCACTAAATCCACAGGGGTCACACACAGAATTATGAACATACCTCTAATAATCTGTAACACATTTTCACAGGGAAACACTAAACCTGCATGGGCTGTACAGCACCAGAGGAACAGGGTGACTGAACGCAATACATAAACTGTTTGATCTAAGGAAGAAGCGAGAATTATTCAACTTACTGTTGGCCTTATCATTGACTAGTTTCGAAGCTGGAGAGACTGGGTTAGACCCAAGAGTGATGGAGGAAGTGACGGCCGGGTTGATCTCAGTCTCCAGTTGGTCGGAGAAGTTGACGTCCTGGCAGGAAGGAATGTTCATGTTACCAGGAAGGAGGATCTGCCACAGTGGTGACTCAGCCTTCCATGCCAGAGAGTCCAGGATCTGCTCCTCAATCTGACAACACAAATATAAGCTCGTCAATTTTCTAATGGTACTCTATAAACCATTAACTGACAATGATTATACTTGCACTGGTCAATGATTTAACACTAGATGAATGAGGATGGCCTTACTGTTAAGTGCAAAGCCAAGTTGCCAAGGTACCACACTTGGCTCCACTTTGAGAACAGCAAAAAGTGTCTGCACAAGACCAGCAGCAAATCAACTGTATTCTCCTCCAGAAAATCACTTCATCCAAGATCATTTGCTCCTAGGATGACTCGAGTGTGGAACATGTTCATACAGCATAATGACAGTGATGAAACAGGGTGTTGATAAAATGAAATTGCTGGTTCACAGCTGGATCCAATTTCATCCTGTTCCCTATTTGAATGTCTCTTAACAATTAAAATGAGCTGATGCAGGTAACAGCTGTTAGCTTGTGAATAAAAGTACAAACCCTAAATCTAACCTTTAAAAATCCTGTGTATAAAAAAGAGGGAGGGGAAGGGAGGAAGATGGATTGGGGAGGGAGGAGGAAGGAGTGGGAAAAGGAAGATGGTGTGGTAAGGAGTGCTGGGTGGCCAGTAACCTCCTCCATCTCAGTCACCAATCTCCATGAGGCCTCCACCCCCCCCCCTTTTTTTTTTTTGACAACTGCTTAGATGCAGGCAGTCTCCAACAGTGTAAATAAATATTAGCCCCTTTTAGTGGACTGTCATGTAGAATTACATCATTGAGACCAGGCTCCCTGACAGAGTTCTACGTCATGGGCTTAGGTCACCCAGATAAGCTGTTAGCAGAAAATTTTAGCGTATATATGATGGAATGTGTCTGTGCAATGAGTGTGCACAGTATAAAAAAAATTCCTGCCCCACGCAGTGCTTGATGGAAAAAGCAAAACTGTGTGTATGGCTTAAAATAACTTTTAGGTATTTTCTAGGGTGATTTTTATGGTTTTATTGTCTATTTCTTTGTATCGTTTGATAAAATGGAAGACAAATTACTGAAAGATGATTTCTGTTGGTTTCAGGACCAGAGGTAGCCTGAAATTGGGCTCAAAATAGAACATTATGGGAGTCAGAGGACATATCCTTGAGTACCTAAATTCTTATCTTATAGACACCAGTATGTCTCCACAAATGGTGTAACCTCAGCCTGTAGCCATAGAAGTGCCCCAAGTGTCCTTGGCCCTCTGCTTACTCATTTACATCAATGATCTACTCATTCCATCTCATCTCTTTAAACCTGTTCTATTTACAGACGACACTACCAGACGACACTACTTAAGTCTTCCACTTAAATTTGACTACGCTCAGTGACACTATTAGCCCTTTCTGGGTTGGTGCCCTACTAGTACGGCTTGCATGCATAAATTCTAGCGAGAGAAAGCTGGTAGGCCTACATGTGAAAGAATGGGTCTATGTGGTCAGTGTGTGCAGTATAAACAAATCCTGCAGCGGACAGTGCATAATGAGAAAGAAAACACTCCGACCGTATTTTCGTTTTAAAACTGCGACTTTGCAGTGCATTTTCGTATGCTATTTATGGTTGTATTCTAGTTTTCCTGGTCTCATTTTATAGAATGGAAGACATATTATGGAAATGGAGATTTTGATTGGTTTCACAATGAAAAGTACCTTGAAATTGAGCTCAAAGTAGCAGAAATGTTCAATTTTTGCCAAAGTTCAAGAGTAAACAAATCATGCCATGCGTCCAATACATGTCAACTGGTAAGTCTGATATTTCACAAATGCGCTGATATTATTTATACCATTTCTACACTAATGCAGTTGTGCGCTTAACAGCAAATCTTCTATTTTTTTTTTTTGTGAGAAAAATTCAAAGTGGAAAGCAAAAGAAATGTAAGAGAGGCCTGGGGACATGACTAATGAACAGAGGAAATGTTATTTTAGTGCCAGGAATGTCTGTCTTGCTTATTCTGGACCCTATTTGGAAATTGGCATCTTTTGAAACTTGTGTGAAATTGACAAAATTGCCAAATTCTGACTACTTCATTGGATAGTTGTAATTGGTAAATGGGTGGTTTCTTGTACTCATTTGATAGAAAAAAATGGAGTTCTAGTTAAATAGTTATGATTTTTGTTGACTGGTACATTGGAATTGGCCAAAAATAGGGCTCAAAGTGAGCGAAATTGCCGATGCGTAAACGCTGTCGAGACCGCTAACTTCACTAGAGCATAATTCCCAAAGTTTTCCATCAAATTTCATACCTTTGGTGTCATTATGATAGGGAAAAGATTCTCTATCTTTTCATAATTTTTTTTTTTTAAATTTGTCGACTCTGAAAACAAGTCTGGGAGAGGGCCTGTCGACCCTGAAAGGGTTAAAGAGTGGTGTTGTTTGGGGTACGTAGTACTGTATCTTGGAGAGGAAACCTACTGTTTCGGAGACCTTCTTGGCTATATTTTGGCTGTGGGTATGAAATTTCAGGTTGCAGTCAAGGTGAAGATCTAAAAATTTGCCCTCAGTGTTTCTTGTAATGGAGAAACCGTTGATCATAATGTTAAGTTGGATATTTAAAGCTGTTTCTGAACAGCATGTAGTAGGTTTTGTTTATATTGAGGGTGAGTTTGTTGGTTGTCATCCATGTAGATATTTTAATAGTTTGTGTTAACCCTTTCAGAGGTCAGCAGTCCCTCTCCTAAACTGTTCTCGGGGTCCGGAAATTTTTCTTAAAAAAAAAAAAAAATCTCATGAAATGATAGAGAATCTTTTCCCTAAGATTTTTTTTTTTTTCGAAAAATTTCCGACCCCGAGAACAAGTTTAGGAGAGGGACTGCTGACCCTGAAAGGGTTAACAAGCTACTTAAAATATCTACATGGATGACAACCAACAAACTCACCCTCAATATAAACAAAACCTACTACATGCTGTTCAGAAACAGCTTTAAATATCCAACTTAACATTATGATCAATGGTTTCTCCATTACAAGAAACACTGAGGGCAAATTTTTAGATCTTCACCTTGACTGCAACCTGAAATTTCATACCCACAGCCAAAATATAGCCAAGAAGGTCTCCGAAACAGTAGGTTTCCTCTCCAAGATACAGTACTACGTACCCCGAACACCACCACTAACCCTTTCAGGGTCGACAGGCCCTCTCCCAGACTTGTTTTCAGAGTCGACAAATTTAAAAAAAAAAAATTATGAAAAGATAGAGAATCTTTCCCCTATCATATTGACACCAAAAGTATGAAATTTGAAGGATAACTTACGGAATTACGCTCGCGCGAAGTTAGCAGTCTCGACAGTGTTTACGCATCAGCGATTTTGCCCCTTTGAGCCCTATTTAGGGCCAATTCCAGTGTACTAGTCGACAAAAATCATAACTATTTCACTAGAACTCCATTTTTTCTATCGAATGAGTACAAGAAACCACCCATTTACCAATTTCAACTATCCAATAAAGTGGTCAGAATTTAGCAATTTTGCCAATTTGACAAATTTCAAAAGATGCCAATTTCCAAATAGAGTCCAGAATAAACAATAACATTTCCTCTGTTCATTAGTCATGTCCCTATGCCCCTCTTACATTCTTTTGCTTTCCACTTTGAATTTTTATTCTCACAAAAATTAGAAGATTTACTGTTATGCAGACTACTGCATTAGTGTAGAAATGGTATAAATAATATCAGGGCACTTGTGAAAGAATATTAGACTCGCTAGTTGACGTGCATTGGACGCAAAGCATGATTTGTTTACTTTGGCAAAAATCAAAGATTTCTGCTACTTTGAGCTCAATTTCAAGGTACTTTTCATCGTAAAACCAATCAAAATCGTCTCAATTTCTGTAATATGCCTTCCATTCTATAAAATGAGACTAGAATACCATTGACGCTTAGACATACATTTTTCTTAAATTACTTAGACTATACAACAAACATTGTCCTATAAAAACGAAACAGATCACAAATAAACAGCTCGGTTGACCATGGCTAACCTGCACCATTCTGAAATCCATTAATAAGAAACACTAATATGAAAAGCAATATAGACAGGGTTTAATACACAAAGATATTCTTAGACACTACTCATCAGTACTCACCAAAGTAATAAAGAAAGCCAAACAACTGTACTACTCCAGCAGATTCACTAACACAAGAGGAGATATAAAAAAGACCTTAAAAACACACTCCCAGATTCTGGGGACCCACAAACTGGGAAAAAAAAAAAAAAAAAAAAAAAAAAAATACTGTCCTAACTAAACCTAGTGAAACACCACTGCATCCCACTGACACAGCTAACAAGATAAACAACTTCTCAAACATAGGATCTAATCTCGCCGGTAAAATTCCACGTACCAACACCCATGCCGGGGACTACCTAGATGGGAATTTCCAAAATTCCTTCTATCTTGTACCAATGGAACCCACGGAAGTCACCGAGATTATAAAGTCACTTAAAAAATAACTCGGGGAATCTGTCTCATGACCCACCATTATTGTACAAGCGAGCGGCCCATGTCCTTTCGCATGCTATAACATTACTTTTTAACAAGTCACTAGAAACTAGCACTTTCCCGACAGTACTCACGACAGCAAGGGTTACACCAATACATAAAGGTGGTGACCCTACAGATGTAAAACTATATGACAATATCAAACTTACCATTGCTATCCAAAATCTTCGAGAAACTCGTGCACAAGAGACTATATTCATTTATAATGGCACAAACACACTGAACCCCTGCCAATTTGGATTAAGGAAAATTAAAAGCACTAATGATGCAATTGTAAAAATGCTAGATCTGCTTTACACAGCATTGGAAAATAAGGCATATCCGCTAGGAATTTTTATTGACCTAAGAAAAGCTTTTGACACGGTAGACCACGGCATCCTACTCCACAAACTTGACCATATGGTATAAGAGGCCATGCACTTGCATATTTCAAATCCTACCTTACTAATAGGTATCAGTATGTCACCATTAAAGACACAGCATCATGAACATGGCCACTTGATACTGGAGTTCCACAGGGAAGTGTCCT